ACTTCAGTGAACGAGCGCCGCCGCGTGCATGCGCGCCAAACAGACGGAGCTCAGTGAAATAGGAGCGCAATAATTCTGACTAAAATATACATTTCGCTGAAATATTTGTAGTTGGACAATAAATGTGACATGTAGAATTTTAAACCTACAAGTAAGTCTATTTTTATGATAGTACTGGGAAATGTGATTTTAACCCTTTTTTGCACAAAGGCTTACATAGTTACATTCACTTTATATGTTTTCAAAGCCTTTAATATGTATTGTTTTGTTGGACAACATTCGGCGGTAAGTGAAATATATAAATATTAAATACAGATTTTTTAATCCAAATACAGAAACGAAAATACCGAGATATATACCGTATATCGCAAACCGGCCAAAAAATAGAGATATGAATTTTTGCCCATATCGCCCAGCCCTAATTGAGAGCTATCAATTTTAACATTAGACTTTAAAAAATTACAACCTTTAATTTAAGTGAACTTAAAACAATCTTCACATAAACCCATCATAATAAATGTCATATTTACTTGTGCCCTTCAGCAAGTAGGAAATATACAGAAATTGAATAAAGTTATCAAACACTAAATTCAATCTAGATGAATCCTTAAAGCTACAAAAGTGATTGATTTGCTCTTTTTTCTTTTGTTCTTTGATTAACAGGCATCACAGCAGCTGGTTATTAGGTTTTTTCGGCTGCTTTAAGAGCTGCTGCTGTTGAACATGACGCGGATCTGACACGCATCCTATTTTCTCACAACTCTTTACCTTTTCTGGCTCACCTCAGGTCTTAAAGTCTCTTTAATGAGCTGAGGAGTTGAATCGGGTGTGTTAGATGAGGGAGACAGTGCTGCTGCTCCAGGACAGTTTTGAAAACCACTGCATTTCAGAGACATGTTCTTAAATGAGACTCATACATAAATACTTACATACATGCACATTTTTAAGGCAGATTTAATCACCTTTTTGGTAACTTCATGACTTAACTGACGACATAACTACGACATTGCATGCTCGTCGTTTCTTTTGCGCTTTAATATGAAATGATATTTATATATATATAATGATATAGAGCGCGCGCCACTGCATTTGTGCGTCAAACTGAAAAAATTAATTGCATGTGTTAATGTGTTTTGACAGCAAAAAAAACAAAAAAAAATTATATATAAAACAACTTCAAATTAATAGTTTTATATTTCTCCATTTTTATTTTGGGATTGTAGTTCTTTTCCTCTTTAAAGTCGTTAAGTACTCAGTCTTGTACCTCTGTGTTTCAGTTTGATTTTCAAATACTTTTTTGCTTCAAATAAAAGTTTGTGATGTTGTGATTCTCCTCTTAGCTGGTTGGTTTAGTTCCAACTTTTTTATTTTTTATTTTTTATCTCTATGGAAAAAATTATTGTAAAAAACTCTTCCGGAACCAACACCACTGAAAAAGTGGGTGGATGCTAATGCACTCTATGACAGGAAGACTAAAAGTATTTGTGGTGGTGAAATGTCTCATAAACACCCAAGTAACAATGAAACCGTAGTGAAGATGTGACATTTCTGACTCCTCACCTGTGGGACAGTCTGTCCCGACTGCTGGGCCAGGTTTACATTCACATTCATGCCTCCGGCTGAGGCTGGGAACGGCGTCTGGTTCATGAACTGGTTCTGGTTGGGCGTCTGGCCCACCATGTTGTTAGCATGGCCTCCCATCATGGCTGGTGCCTGCTGCATCCTAGAGGGAGACATACCCCTCTGCAAAAGAATGAAGAGAAATTAGATTTGAGCCACAAGACTGTTTTTGCCCTACCGAGAACCAATTTTGGCACAACATGAGTGATAAAGCTATTGATAATTTTACTTTTTAGTGAACAAGCTTGTTTTTGTTGAGGGAAATCCAAAATGGCACACAACTCAAGAACAATGTTGACTATAAATAACTTAAAATTAACTAAGAAAACATTTAAATCTAACTAAAAATACACCGTTTTAAAACATAAAATTCCAAAAATTCCAGAACTGGAATCAATCTGGAATCGCATCTTGTTGCTCACCGCTGGAACTGTACCCATGCCCATCTGAGGGGGGTGGGTCATAGGGGACACAGCCCGAGGAGCTCCCACCGGTGACTGGGACATCTGCACGTTCTGCATGGTCACAGGGTTGAACTGGCCCATCCCTGAAGAACATGATGAAAAAACACATAAAAAAAAGGTAAAGAGCTTTGCTGTTCAATGGGAGATTGAAGCTTTTAAGTAATCCCTGCGCTACCAGTATGACCTGCCCGGCTGCTTTTTTCCTACCCAAGTCAACATGAAACAGCATTCTCATCCTGCCGTAACTGATTAAATTAAAGGGATAGTTCACCCAAAAATTAAAATTACCCCATGATTT